TATATATATATATAGTTTTTACATTGTACTTATATTTTAAAAATACATGCATGTGATCACATCTGTAATTAATTTCTGTAATTACATTTATAATTACAGTATTGACCCATCCCTTACACCTTAACCCACCCTTAAACCTACCCATACCGCCAAACCTAACCATACCTGTTTCCCACCTCACAATAAGTACATTGTGCTTATTTTTTGATGTAAGTACATCGTAGTTAAAACCACTTAATATAAAGTGGGACCTACACACACACACACACACACACACACACACACAGAAGAGATTTTTTAGTTTCTTAATAGCTGATTTTGCTTCAATGACAGCATGTGCTTGTGCTGCTGTGACTAGAATCAGATTTTGGGGGATAATGATTTGTGAACAATAGCCCGTTTAAACTGAAAGAACAGCAAAACAGCGTCCTCTTGTGGTCAATAAACGCACATGGTTGTTTTTCTGCACTGGAGTCAAAATCATTTTATTTATGCTATTACTGGGGCGAGGCCAGGAATGTTTAAGTGGGTGGGCTTACTTGGCCAGTCCTTTATAATGAGTAGCAATAACTCTTATACACTGTAAAGTTTTCTAAACTAGAGTTGGTCAGTGCTATTTGAACAAAGTTTTAGGTATAGTTAAAAATTATATTCCAGCAAAAAACACAGTATTCTCATTCATAGTGTTTTCAAACAATTAAAGTGCATAATAATAATGACAACGTAATGCTTATGAAAGTGTTCTTGTTTATAGTGCTTTCTTGTACACTGTGACTGAACTTGAGCAATAGTGATGGCTTTATGTTGTACTTCCAATGTTGACCACTAGATGTAGCTTTAATGCAAGAAGTGGCTCTTAAACTCCTCAAATTGCCATTTTAGTTTAGCACTAGGTCACACCAATAGATCAAACCTTCCTTTCTATTTTTCTTCAGTCCTTAATATAATATATTCCCCTCCCTCCATAAATAAAATATGCCTGTAAATGTGAAAGTAAAAGCAGCAACAGGAGAGGCTAAAATATGCTTCTATAATATCCAGACCATGCAACATATCATAAACCTTCTTTCAAGGCCTTTATTTGGACATCGAGAAGAAGCTCTGTCAAAGTCAGCCATGAACATTCTTGCTCGCATTTCTTTTTTTTTTTGAATCCATAAAAAAGCTTGATTACAGCTTGTGTGCTTGACACGTTGATTGAAATGATACATTTCGCACAAGATAGAAATAATCCGAAGAGAATGTGGCGCCTTACGTAAACCCTGTTTCTGTGGTGTTTTGACAGTTGCCAGGGTTAATTGGCTGTGTTCAATTTGCAGCTCTGTTCCACAGCTATGAACCCATGACTGTGGGCAACTCACGCACCGAGGAACATGTTATGGCAGGGCATGCTGATAATTACAGAGGGAGAGCGGCAGTGTTTGGGAACCGAACAGGGGCTGCTGCCAACACGCACACAGTAGAAACACCTTTTGCCTCGGGCTAGGCAGACAGCCATCAGTGTCTGTCATCTTTCTGTTGCACTCGTCTGCCCACCAACACTTACCTGCTCAATCTCTTTCGCTCTTTTATTGAAAGATCGCTTTTTGTGAAGTCATGCCAGATTCTCTGAGGCTGATGAGCAATTTAACAAGTTTATACCAAGCTCCCTGTTGGGGAAAGGGCACTAGTATGGTGAAGAACATATAATGGAAAGTTTAGATGCGATTTTTAAAATGCTTTTAAAATAGTCTTTTAAAAATGTAATGTTTAAAGGAATAGTTCATCCAAAAATGAAAATTTGCTCAACATTTCAGAAACATTTTTTTTATTTTTGTATTTAGCATTACATCACTTGCTCACCAGTGGATCCTCTCTTCTGCAGTGAATGGGTGCCGTCAGAATGAGAGTCCAAAAAGCTGATAAAAACACCTCAATAATCCACATGACTCCTGACAGTCCGTCAGTTATTATCTTGTGAAGTGAAAAGTTGCATGTTAAGAGAAACAAATCCATCATTAAGACATTTTTAACTTCAAACTGTTGCTTCTGGCTAAGATTTGAGTCCTCTATCCATATTGCTTTCTCCATTGAAAAAGACATCTCGACTGAATCAGGAGAAAAATATGCACAGATCACGTACTGTTCACAAGCAAAAACAGTTGTAAACAAATATGCCGGTGGATTTTATGTGAGAGGGCAACAGGATTGACTTTTTTTAATGGAGGAAGCGTAATGAAGGATTATGGACCCTTGGATGATTTCAAGTTAAACCGTCTTGATGCATTTGATTTTAAAAAGCATGCAGCATTTCATTTCACAAGACGTTAACTGATTAACTGGGTTACTTGTGAATTATAGTGATGTTTTTAACAGCTGTTTGGACTCTCATTCTGACGGCACCCATTCACTGCAGAGGATCCATTGATGAGCAAGTGATGTAATGCTAAATTTCTAAAAGACTGTAAAAACAAACTCATCTACATCCTGAGGGTGAGTAGATTTTTAGCGAAGGTAAATTTTTGGGCAAACTATTGCTTTAATTCAATTAGTTACTTGGCATTTCTTTGTAGGCTAATTATTTGTAAAATGTACTAGCAATTTCTGAGTGAACGTCGTTTCAAAGTCTTTTTTTCCATTGCACAATGGCAGTTTTATTTGCTAAAGAGAAGGCATTGAAAAGGGGACCTTTCCTCTCGAGCGCAAAGATTTGCCGCAATTACAGAATTGCTTCCATATGTGGATCAGGCAGCTTCTCCCGCTGCCCCCTCCAGCCCCTCTCTCCTTCCTCTCTTTCTCCGCGTTCTCTCTCCCTGTCTTTTAGCGACTTCCTTCCCCGACTTCTATCTGTTTTTTAGCCATACTATATTTTTCCGCCCTTGCTTACTTTCCCTTAGTGCCACGAACGGTTTTGAAAAGGCCACCTTTAAAACAAAGTCCGTCTTAATCAGAACATCCTGGTACTTTTGGCAGT